GACAGAAATAGAGCTGGGCTTTTGGAGATCACAAATAGTGATTAATTAAAGCAACACTATTATTTTTTTCTTTCAATAGCACAGTAACTCCACTTCTTAGTAAATTAATTTAGTCAGAATTTAACACATTTTTCAGGATGAATTGATTTTCTGTATTTTAGTCTCTGCTTTAATTCCCTTGCTACAGAAATATTTCAAAAGGAGCCCTCCCAAAACTCCAAGTGTTTTTTTTTTCCTTCCGATCTAGACTCTCAAAGCTGAAGAGTCAATTGGTCCTCTACTGACTCCTACCTTCATACAGACACACAGTCAAACGTCTCCAGGTTATAGCACAATTCAAATTTTACATTGGAGCAAAGGGGTTTTCCCCTATCCATCACAATATAATTCAGCTCCACAAAAAGCAGATGACAAGTGGTCTGAGCACTGTAAGCAGCCACCCAATCTCAGGGGCTTCTCACATTTCTCATGAAAACTCTGTCAACTTCCAGATTGCCATGAGACAGAAGAAAGCAAAACAAAACATGGAGAAATGGTTCCACCATAGTAGAACCAACTTAACCTTTGCAATGTGCCAACACATCGAAAAGGCTGTAGGATTGATGTCCCAACTGCAGATGCTGAACAACCCATTCCTCTGTACTCCATCTGCTCTAGACTACCTTCCACTATGCTATCACAAGTCTACAAACAGGCTTTGGTCAAACCTTCACAGTTTGGTCAACATTCTCCTGGCAAAGGAGAGAAGCGGGCTCCTGCAGTCTGAATCTGCTGCTCATTAAGGAATATCCCTTCTCTGCCTAAAAGCTTGTCTATGCACTGAGTATTACCTATTCCTGAGTAACCAAATGTGAGGAGCACAAGTTACTCAAAAGTACCCTTTGCACGTGAAACTCGAACACAGCTTTATCCCAAATTAGCATCCAAGCATCAGCAAGCCTTAACAGGAATGGCCAGTTTTACACTAACACTCCACTGGAAGTGGTAAAACCATTTTAAATCTTAGCAACTATCACATTTTTTAAAATAACTTGAGAATGTTCCTACAGTTACAGTAGGGCTCGATATAGCATAAGTCACATATATTCCTAAGATAAGCAGAATTTAGTAGTAGTCACAGCCATTTACTGGCATTGGGTTAAATTGAAATATATTCTCTATGCAAATGATCACATTGTAAAAAAATTACTCATCTAGAAAGGGAATGAGGCTGAATTAATTAGTTATAAAGTTTGTAATGCCTGATTTCTACATAACAGTTAGATGACCACAACTGATGCATAAAAGGGGAAGAAAAATGAACTGTTTGGCTTCATTAATTGGTTCATAAGCCTACTGATCTGGCTTTCAGATTTTTTTCATGTAGTGCTACTTTAAATCCCGAATGCTACAAGTCCAGATTTACACCCTACTTAAAATACAGAACAAAAGGATCTCGATTTTTATTTAAACATATTATCTGAAAGGCTTAGAAGAGGAACCAGAGGAAGGGTAGCACTTCAAGTTCAAGGAAGTACAGAAAATTGCATGTAAAAACTTTGTTCAAGGTAGAAACCAAGAGCAGGAGAAAGCAGTCTTAAGCAGTAAACATTTGACAAAGACGGGCATTACACAAGCTTTTACTGAAGCTTTATTAACAACAGCTGATGCAACCAAACTACTGCTTATTCATACTTTCAAAGCACTGTTCATTTAGGCTTCACCAAGTATTTTTACAAGAACATTTTTGCAATCCCCACCCAATATACAGCTCAAAATAGAGTACAGTCCCTTTTACGACTGATCATTTTTACAGCCCCTGTCAGAAGTTAGGCCTGAACTCTCAGTTAACGTGCCCATTGCTGTTTAA